ATGACAAATAATTAATTGCAGATGCAACATAGCTATAAAAGTTCCTTTGCTGTTTTTAAAATTATCAAAGGAGTGGTTAAATGTGCTGATCATCTCACTCGGTGGGTGTTGCATATGTTTTATATGGCGCTGCCAAACCCTGAGAGGGGTTGGTAAATCTGAGAACAGACTTGTCTGAGCCTTTAATTATTTAAGGGAATTAAAAGACAGTGTTGAAAATCCTCCTCGTTAACATCCATTAACTAAACCAGTTTGTACACCCGTTTTGAGAGATGGCCAAATATATAGTCAGAATTGTTTTGTGGAGGTGTGTTCTTAAGGGTTATGTTGAGCCCATTTGATAGCCGAATGACGCCATTCCATGTCGCTAAAATGTCTTGGCTGGAAATGGCTTTTAAAAATAGCTTCAGTGGGTTGAGTTACAGCCAGTAGATGTGATGTGATGTTTTGCCACTTGATTGGGCCTTAAAGAAACTGGTGAGAGCTGAAAGTGTTGATACCTGTTCAGAAAGACAAGAAACTATGTAACGCACGCATATAATTACATGTAAACCAGATGCATGTCTTTCACAGTGGATAGCTTGGCCTATGAGATAGAGGGAAGTTTTCCCACCTTTATGTTTCCATGCAAGAGACTGTGATAAAATATTATGAATAATTCCATCATTTTAATAAGCCCGAGGCTTCTGTCTCAACCATAACATGGTTCTGTTTACATTGGCACAGACTGTGTACAGATCTTGTGTCTCCAAACAAAACTGAAACACATATTGAGCTATACGTTTCTTTCGAGGCAGACATCTGTTTCACTAGAGAATGTAAGAAATCTGAGGGCACTGACATCCCGTTTGAACTTGAAAAATGAGGAGGGCCCTTGCTGTCAGTCTGTCTGATACATTCAGGTCCCGGGGATTCACTTTCAGGCGTGGTGGTAAAGTGTTGATGGTTGAGAGTTATTTTGTGGCTATGGTGCAAATCAATGGTAACACTGAAGCAACAACACCCCTTTCAGTGCAATTAAAGCTTTACAGTCAATTTATGATTTATGAATTCCTTTGAATATGGATGTGTAGTGTGAAATAGAAAACTACAACTGAAGGTATCAATTACTTTGTCTTATTTGGTTTCTATTTTGTTAATTTATGTTTTTTTCATACTAAACCTCTTAAAGTTTTCTATGTTATTTATCTAGACTTAATCCCTTTAAGGAGCTTCTTTTTTCTGGAGAAGTTTTGATATTACTTAACATTAATTAACTTTTGAGTCTTGAACATAAGGATTTCATTGCTTAAGTATGTGTTCAGGTTAATATCATCACTTGTTCTACATTTTTCTAACCAAAGGTAATGTTCTGTGTTCTCCCCTGGCCCCTCAAGTCATGCCTCTGGGTACACCTGCTCCCCTAACCAAGCGGAAAAAGCCCTCCAAGATCATAACTGACCTATCACATATCCCTCAGGATGGTAAGGCTTACATAAAATGACGTGACTATGAAACCAAGTTACCACTGCTCAGTAGAGCTCTTTCATATAAACACAGTACACAGAAATACACGGTGGTAAAACAAAAAGGGGTACAAATATTAGAGAACTAGCTGCTTATTTGCAGTACAATTAAGTCAATCTACTTTACTAATAAAGGATACCGTTCTTTAATGAAACAATGTTTATGAGTTAGTACTACTTTCAACCTCATTTACCAATGTTAGAGCCATTGTTTGGCTCTCACTTACGTAGAATATGATTCAGAGCCAGAGGCATCGGAGTTTGACCTGGGAACAAAGATCAGAACTCCTAAAGACATCATGCTGGAGGAGCTTTCCCTGCTGAAGAACCGAGGATCCAAGATGTTCAAGATGAGACAGCAGAGAGTGGAGAAATTCATCTATGAGAACAACCCTGACATCTTCAGTAGTGAGTCCATGGTGAGAGCCTAGTTCATAAACAAAATAAAGTCTTGTTTGTCACTGCAATGCAAATTTATTGACACTAGGTTGATAATCCAAGCAAATTTGAGGCAAATAAATCTTGAATTAGCTTTGAATCTCATGCAGAAAGGTAACACCTGAAGAACTGTATCCTTACCTTTACAATTTTGCTTTTGTTGATATAAATATTTGAAAGAAACCTAGTACCAGCATGCAGATGGTGATTATTTAAATGTAAAGTCACCTGGGCTTTAATTATAATCATACTGATCAATTTTAACAGTGATATAAGAGGGTTTTTTGGTCTTGAAGCAGATAAAGACCACACAATCATAATTTTAACCTAAACATAATGCTCAAGTCCTGATCATTATTATTCAGTAAATACAAATCAAAGCATTGTATGGTGTATGATTGATTATAATGGTGATACTTTGCTCTATATGGGGTGGCTGAAGCTCTGGAGATAGAGCAGGTCATCTGCTAATTGCAAGGTTGGTGGTTTGATCCCTGGCTGCTCCCACTTTGCATACCAAATATCCTTGAGCAGAACACTAAACCCAAGCTGCATGAATGTGTGTGAATGTTAGATAGATAGCATTTATGCATAGAAAAAAATGGTTGTGTGAATGAGGCAAGTTGTATAAACAGCTTTGAGTGCTCAGGTACAGTAGAAAAGTGCTATATAACAACCAGTCCATTTACCCTTTCTTTCAGGACAACCTGCAGAAGTTTGTTCCCTCCCTGGGAGGTCAAGTGGGAGGTCAAATAATAAACCTCGGTGGGCATTTTGTTAGCAAGGAGTCTGGACGTCTGAATTTTGTAGGGCTACAAACAGGAGGAGGGGCCCCTGTGCCTCCCCCAAAGCCTGGAAGCAAAGGAGCAGGAGGAACGGGAGGTGCAAGTGGAGCAGGAAGTGCAGGAGTTGGTGTGGGCGAGAAAGGTGGAAAAGGAGAAGGTAGTAGTGAGTGGTCTCCACTAAAAGGTTTGTCTAATTTCTTTTTCTTTTGGCCATTTGTAGTGCAATTCTGTTTTAGGTACAGAGGGCCATTTCTCCAAAAATTATTTAAAATGCATTAAGAAAGTGTGTTTACAGCTTGAGAAATACATCTAGAAGGACAACTGTATAAATTAATAAAAAATAACAGTGTACACAATATATGTATTTATTTTTTTTTATTTTTTTTTAAACCAAATTACATATATCTATTAAACACTGAACTATTCAAAAATGTGTTGAATATTTGTATTTGCTTTCTTGCTAAAAGTACTAAAACCACCATGACCAGCTGGTTAGTTAGCTAAGCTTGGCTTAAAGTCTGGAGAAAACTGATAATGAGCAACTCTAAACCTCATTATTTGATATGAGGTACTTTGTGCGTTTAATCTATACACAAGCCTTAGTGCAAAAAACCCAAACAGGTTCCAATATGAGGTTATCAAGAAAGCACTGCAGGAAGTCGCAGTTTCTGGCACAGTGCAGTTCAACAATAGCCTAGGGCCAGTTAAAAAAGTATGCTGGACAAGTTGAATGGCCAGCTGCTGGTCTTTTTGGGCTAGTAATGGTGTTTCATCGAATGGATTCACCTTTGAAGCAAACAGTCAGTATTCTGATATCAAAATACAAATAAATATCCTTTATTGAACCACCAGTTCTGGTAGTTTTATAAGTGAAAAAAATTAGATCTTTTTAGCTGCTCCTACCCCTCACATTGTTGCATAAAACAACAGCACAACTAAATTTAGAAAAAGCTAAAATAAAATCTGTCTGTCTGCAGATAAATTGTGCTGGTTTATTTTGCCACAATCTTTCAATTTCTAGTAGCAATACCTGCATAAGAGGGGCATTTCAATCATGCCACAACCTTTATTTTTAAGTTTTAGTTACCAGCACATGTGGATGACTTTCTTTACAGGAGGTGGAAAACATGGCGGTACTAAGCAGCAAATTCATGTGAAAACCTATGTGTCTCCATGGGAGAAGGCCATGAAGGGTGATGAAGGTCTGTTAGCCACTCTACAAACCAATATGCCACATCCCAATGCCAAAAAGGAATTACTCCAGTACAAGTGTTTCAACAGGTAGTTCCCTTGAGGTCTGATATGTAGAAGATTTGTGAAAAAAAAAGGAGCTTTAATTAACCTTTCACCTTGGTTTGACAGGAGTGCCATGCCCTACGGCGGTTTTGAAAAGGCCAATCAGTTTCTGAAATTTCAGCTGCCAGAAGCTGAGGCAGCCAAAGAAGAGCCTGAACCTGCAGTGGTGTACCATCATGACATTAGCTGCCGGCCTTCATTCAATCGCACTCCTATTGGCTGGGTGGGCAGCAGTGAGCCCAGCAGCATTCACATGGAGACGGATGCTGTGCCCTTCGATGGAGAGACCGACGAGCTGTGAAAGCATATTAATAGTGATTACTATGCACATACTCACACACAAGAGTAACTGCATGCATACACCATAGCATGCACACACAATAGTTGAGCTTACAATTAACTATTACACTAATGAATTTGAATCTCCCAGTGTGGACAGTTTAAAGCGTACAAATAAAATGAGGTCCTGATCTTAACATGCTCTGTATTTGGTTGTAAAGCGACAAGTTTTATTTGTTATGGGGAGATGAAACATCAAATGTCTATTTGATAAATTTATAAGTTGAGCCAAGCAGTCCTCTAATTTGTCTGAAAGTTTGCTATTGTAGGTGAAAAATTGCAGATTGTCCCATTGAGGAATGAATCATATATGATGAATAGGTGATGAATGCTAAGTCACTATTGTGCATGCTGTCTGAACTTGTTACCATAACTGTTATCGCTCAACATTGTCTTTTTTTGTTGTTACAAATGTCTGATGATTTGCTGCGCTATAAAAACCTAAAAACTTGTTTAACTCAATATGCATGCTGTTGCTGATCCCTTAACCAAACAAAACAACACAACACAGTTTCTCCACAATAAACTGTAACACTGTAAATAATTTAGTGCACTCTGAATGAATTCTTGGAATATACAGTATTTGTATGTACAACGTAAATTTCAGAAATGTTATTAACTATTTGGATGTCGGGGGGGAGAAGAAGAAGTGAACAAAACAAAAAAAGATCATCCTTATCATGCCCATGTCATATTGTGTACTCACTTGGCAAATGTCATGTGTGCTGAAACATTAATGGGAACTGGGACATTTAAGCTAGTTTACGCAGTTTAACAGTTCTGTATTTAATTACTCTTCTAATTTTTCATTCAAGAAATGGAGAGTAATATAAACAACAACAACAACAAAAAAAACACATACACACTGATGTCTACAGTATTATCTGAAAATTCCCGAAAGTCTGGCAAATACCTGGTAGCTTAAAGTAAAAACAAAATAAGAAATCGTGAGTAACTGCTATGAGTTCGGCTGAACTTCCAACACTAAAAATGAAATCACGACTAAAGTACGTTTCTATTAATAGTACTTCTCCAGCTAAGCAACTCCCGCACAATTGGGGGCAGTCATGTTCCAAAAAGTTCTAGCCAAGGAAAAGCAAAAAGAAGAATGCCATACCTTTGAATGTTGGATACCGGGGGAATCTACTGTCCAAGCACTATTATACAGTAAAGTCTGCAATCTACAACAACGCAATGGACACCAGCCCAGTGTTACTAGGTAACATTACGAAGTCTTCAACCGATGAGCTAGCTTAGCTAAATATGTATTTTGGTGGGATGGCTTACGGAATTTCCCAGGAAACCTCGCAAATTAATACCCAAATTTGCATGTTGAAACATACATGCACCGACTTTATGTCAGTGGGCTCTTTTTAAGTTGAAATACCGAGACGGTTTCTGGTATAGAGTAAGGTTAACTTGTTTAGGCAGCTGAGAGGGTCGATACGTCATGGCCAGCAACCTCTGGACAGTGTTACCTAGCGACGGCAGTGCTAGCCAACAGATTAGCACTGACAAGCACTGCCGTCGCTGTGCGTCCTTCAGTCAGTAGAATGAAAGAAAAAACAAAAAACACGTAATTTCCCTCCACACAAGCTTCTGCTGTGTTTCAACTAAAGGATACATCTCAGGGTATATTGAAGTGTGCATTTAATATAGGTTATGTGTGAAAATCAGTTTTAAAAGTAAACTAAAGAAAGTTCTCCCACCTTTGTAGTCTTCTTGTTATCTTCTCTTTGTGTTGTATATGCACACCCAAACAGTGTATTGAATATGAGAATCACTAAGAAGTATCACTACTGAACTATTTACAGTGTCTTGTTGCCATTTTTCGTGGTTTCCTGCATTAAATTGGTAAAATAGACTTGTATAAGCACTACTGCATTGTTTAACTATTTATAACATGTGAAAGCAAGAGTTTTTTTCTAAATTATTAATTTTTTTTTAGCACATGAAGTGAGTCAGAACTACAGCAGATAGTTTCCAAACATAACTCTACTAGGAATTATGCTGAGTGTAATCTTGGTCTGTGGTCATTTTAATTTTTTTTAGGTATACGATAGCGGATTGACTTTCATTGATGGGATCCATATCTAAAGCCCAGTTGGCTCCCTTGCCAAGGACAGAGGTCCTTGTCTATTGGGTGCTTTCCTTGGGCTCTCATCTCTACTCTTTCTATCAACTTCACAGGTTCAGCAAAGGTATAGTAGAAATATGACTACTGAAATCTTAGTTAGATAAAATGAGAAAAAATAAATAAATAAAGCTGTTATATCCTGTTTTTGGCCCAGAGTATGAAGTGGGATTAGAGAGAGAATTCCAGTTGGAAAAGGGCCTTGTTAAAGGTTTTAAAAGGGTAAGTTCAGTGCTGAATTGATAGAAAGCCATGTCTGAACCAACAGACTAGATTTTAAGACTTATAGTGTACTAAAGGTTTGTGGTAATTTCCAGTTAATTTTAAATTTAGAATAACAAAGTAATAATTTTAATTTAATCGATGCATAGAAATAAAATACCTTAACAGATTTGCATTGTTTAAAGCTGCTTTTGAACAGGTTTCAGGTGTTATAAGTCCATTGTTTTGTTATCAGGACCCTTTAGATTTTGAGTGGAATTTTTGGACTGACTGGGCTAAGCACTCTTTACTGTGGACTCTGATTGGTCATGCTGTCTTATCAAGATTAACCAGCATCTTTTACCCCAAGGTATGAAGCTGTTGCTACAGTAATCTTTAAATATAATATAGGTGGCAAACAGTTTAATCCCACACATTTTTATGTGTTTTTCCATCAGCTTAGAGTGCCAGCACTTGCGATATATGGCTTCTTAGCAGCCAGCAGTGTTTTGGGGATTAAAGGTGTGAGTGTGCTGCTGGTACATCTGGGCTTGTCCTTTTCTATGGCCCAGCTGCGAAAGCCCGCTCTGTCGTGGGCATGTAACCTGCTGCTGCTCTACACACCTCATATCAACGAACTTCAAGACATCCAGGTGGGTTGACTTGGCTTTAACTCCTACAATAAATCTTTTCCTGTATGCTTGTAGGTGTTCTGAACACCTACAAAGCAACACCTAGTTCAAAAACTAACACAAAAATAGTAACTTTGACTGCATCAACAACAAACCACAGACTGTTCTGCAAAAACTGTTTTATTTCTACATTGGTATTCGCAGACAAACACAAAGCCACTAAATCCTACACAAGGGGCTTGTGTAGGATTTAGTGATATCTGCCAGTGAGTGTTTTTTTTTGTCCCATCCGTTTCTACTGTGTCCCACTGTAGAAACAGTGGCAGACTAATCCATCTGTAGATATGAAGAGATCATTGTAAGATGGTAAAAACACAGCAGTTCATATTTCCAGGAGATTATATTTCCTTTAAAACATGAAAAAAATATTTTTTAACTGCTGTCCCAGCTGTCATGGGGCAAAAGGCAGGGTATATGCTGGACAGTTTACCAGCCCATGACAGGGCTTTATAAAATATATAAATAATAATGTTAAACTAGTTTTTTTGTAAAAACCTTTTGTTATTCTGTAGCAGCATGATATCCAGTTACAATTTGAAAACTTCCTTTATCCTTGTGATTGTTACTAGATGTCATATTTGCCAAGAACACAAGAGGGCGCAAAATACTAAGGGAACCATTTGGTCACTTGCCTCCTTTCTACAGAATATCCAGATCACATGGTTAGGGTAAATTTATTTTGAGTATATTTATCTAACAGATCAATTTCCTACATGATAAATGATAAATAGAAATAATTTCAGATAAAATGCAAACATTTAGATTCATTTTTAATGTTACTTAACCATTTCACTATAGTCCACTTATACTGTATAAATAAATAGAATATATATTTAGTGTCTATCTTAGTGCTGTTACTACTAATGCAATGATTTTGATGGAATGCGTCATATGTAATTGGCCTTCCCACTGTATTACACAGAGAGGCTGGTATGAGAGTGATGAGGAGCACTATCTGCTGCTCTTCAGTGTTGCTGTTTGTGGTCTGCGCTTCATCAGCTTCAGCCTGGAGCACTGCTGGAGCCCTGAAGACCAATGCAGTATTGTGCAGCTTTGCTGGCTGTTTTCGTATACCTTCTATCATCCTTTTTTCTATAATGGACCCATTATAACCTACAAAAACTACATTGAGCAGGTAAGAGACATCAAAGCATTCTTCTAGATTAAACTGAGAATCAAATTTTCCTCTTTGTTTTTTTTTTATCTGCAAGAGACTGAAGCTGATTGGTGCTCCTGAGAGCAGATCTCCCTTTTACAGTACAAAAGAGCAGTAACATCACATGTTCACTTATTATTTTAATCAGCTTATCTTTTTTGTCGTAGTTTTGTACTTATCCTTACATTATGTGTTGCCTCTTTTACTACAACCCTGAGATTTTTTTTGGGTGGGGCTGTGTGAATGAAGATTCACCTGGCAGTCCTTAATAACATGCTCTCTTGCTCCACTAACAGATGCAGAAGTCTGCGGAGGAAAGTAACAGGGATGAATCTGCCCTTAGTTACTTGGTGCTCAGATTAGGACGGATCATTTTGTGGTGGTGTATTGCAGAATACATGATCCACGTCATGTACATGCACTCCATCCAGTCTAATGAGACCTACATAGAAATTCTTCCTCCTTGGGCCTTAGGCAAGTCTTGATACTCTGTTTTTTTCCACCAACAGCACAGCTTTCTTAAAATTTTAACTTTACATTTACCTACTACATGCTACCACCACAGGATTATGTAAGTTTTAAAACGTTCTCATATATGTGTGTATTTGTTTGTTTTTGATATAATAGTTTATTTGCACTTAAATTAAATATAAGCCCACTCTAAATTAGCAGAGCTGGTCTCTGACATGCACATAGAGTCAGATATACAGTTTATGCAGGTGGTTGTCTAAAATGTCTTTCATAAATTTTTTGAATGTTAAGCAAAAATTGGTAACATGAATTTGAAAACACCTCTTGGATTATGAGCTTATGTCGAAGATGATATAATAGAGAAAAAACCACACTTGAGTAATCCAAGGTTACTGGTTATATGTTAAACCTGCACTACATCTGGTTTATACCACAAACGTCTGGGCAGTCGTGTTGTTGCAATATGAGCACAGTTTGCTTATTGACACAAGCGAATTGGTGCCATCTAATCCTTCATTTCTTTATATTTTGCTTCCAAGAAGCCACACTTTCTTGTAAGTGGTATTTTAAAGCAAATGTCTTGGGGCTTTCTGAAGGTCTGAAATACTTTGTTACTATTAGCCTGTTGCAAAAACATAATTTGTTCCAATTTTCTTCGTTCACTATATGAAAAATGCCAAGTTTGACACACATAAAATATTATTTCTGCAACAAGGAGATTCCTAAAAAGCTGTTCGCTAGACAATTGCCATATCTGAAAATTTGAAGAAATTGGACAAGTGACCTAAAATCACTATACTGCAGATGAACAAAAAGGTCATATCCTTAAGAAATTGGAAACAAAATCCAGCAAAGGACCTAAGAGATGCTTCTGGACCCGCAGTTGGTTTGTGTATTGTTTGTTGGCCATTATGTCTGCCAAATTATACAAAAACTGGACTAAAATGGGGCGACCGTGGCTCAGGGGGTTGGGAATCGCATCTGTAACCGGAAGGTCGCCGGTTCGATCCCTGGGCTCTCTGTCCTGGTCGTTGTGTCCCTGGGCAAGACACTTTACCCTACTTGCCTACTGGTGTTGGCCAGAGGGGCCGATGGCACGATATGGCAGCCTCGCTTCTGTCAGTCTGCCCCAGGGCAGCTGTGGCTACAACTGTAGCTTGCCTCCACCAGTGTGTGAATGTGAGAGTGAATGAATAGTGGTATTGTAAAGCGCTTTGGGTGCCTTGAAAATCGCTATATAAATCCAATCCATTATTATTAGAAATCACTGATCTTATCTTATAGATCTTATTGAGTAATTAATCCAAATTTGAAATTTTTGGTTTAAATCGTTATAAATATGTAGAGAGGAGGTCAGGAGAGAGGTACAAGTGGAGGCTCTGTAATGGTTTGGGGCTGCATTTCAGCCAGTGTTGTCAAAAAAGTTGATGGAATTGTGAAGAAAGGAAGAAATGAAGTTTAGATCAAGACCTTTGGACAATAAGATGACTGGAAAACCTTTGGAACAAACAAATCACATCTAATCCTCCTTTCCCATATATCTTTTGAGTTTTTACTATAAATATAACACTGGCCTAACATACGTTTGAGGATTATATAGAACTTTTTTACAATAAGAACTTTTGATTTCACCACCTACTTTCATTTTTGTCACAGGTGGTCTTGCTCTAGCTGTCGTCCAGTTCTTCTATGTGAAGTATCTGGTACTGTTCGGCCTTCCATCCATGCTCGCTACTTTGGATCAGCTGGTTCCCCCTAAGCTTCCCCGTTGTGTCAGCATCATGTACAGTTTCACAGGCATGTGGAGGTAAGACAGTGGAATCAATTCTGGGAAACCACAGTGATAGAATAACAAACATAGTACTATACTGGTCTTTCAGCTTTGCTAAATATTCCCTTTACTAGAAAAGCTACCTTTCCTCATGTCCTTAAATTAAAACAAAGTCATTTATTGTCAAGTTTCAAAGTGGGCGCAGAAAATAGTTTCATTTTATGTTGTTAATAGTAAGAACAACAGGTTGTCCTACACAAGATCACCTGAAGATCATTCTTTCAGACTCATCATAATGATAAGCACATGTTAAGCTATTATTTTTAGGCCAATTTGTTTTCTTTAATTCATAATCAGCAGGTTTGTTGCAGTGTTTCTTAGACAGCAGGGACATTATGAAACAAACTGAAACCTTGTAGAGTAAAACCAAAAGCTTTAATAATTGAGTTTTACTTGTGTGTCAGTTAAAGGAACCTGGATATTTCTGGTTTATTATTATTTTACGCAGTGCTGTGTAATTGTAAGAAACAGGAAAGATGCTTTGATTTTCTTCTGTTTCGTGGTTTAAAATGTGCTCGTATTGAATTATTTCTGTCACAATGAGCGGAAAAAATAATAATAACTTGTCTTTTCACTTATTTTTTCAATTAAAATGGAAACTAGTCTAATAGATCTATTCCTAGTTTATACTGAAGGGGTCACAATTGCTCAAGTTAATGAACATGCAAAGGAAAACGCTTGTTACAAGGGACAAGGAATCTTATTCAGCAGGTATTTCATTAACAAAAACAATAACACACTGTGCATAAGTATATAAATAAGGATGAACATTTGTGCTATTGTGCTGTTAGTATTTAGACTTTGCCACTTCAGAAAATCTCTTTATGTATTTATATAGTGCAAAATATACATTCATTTCATCTTATCTATTACAAGCTTATACAGTGCAGTTATTTGTTGTTTAGCTCTTAAATGATTCACCTTTATGAATCATACAGGTTTCATGTGTATGATGATGGCAGGTTTTACTTCCTTTTTATGGTTTAAGGTTAAGGGTAGACAGTTGAAACAACTCTTCATATCTTAAAAAGAAATCCTCAAAAGTAATAATCATCATCACAATGAAGTTGAATTAACATCTCTCTACAAGAGCTTATATCCTGCATCAAGGGACGCTTTACTGCAGGACCATTTTAGCTTGCCGTATAAACTAGCAGCTTATTATAGCAGTGGGCAGTTTTTAAACAGAACAAACATACCATTAAGTGCAAACCTTGAACATATTGCCATCTGCAACAAAAGGAGCGACTCAAATTGGGTTTAGATCCTGGTTATAAATTACCAGAGTATCCCAGCAGTTTGTCACTTTCTCCCAGTACAATCAGTCTTGTTCCCAAATGTAATTAACAGTGAGAAATTCCCCATATTTAGAGTACAAAAAGCTGAGCTAGAAGGCTGTGTGTTGGTATTACAGTAAAAAAACGAGAAAAAAAAACAGCTGTAGGATAAACGAACCAGTGTGCTGACACTGATGCACTCCAATCGAGTCGGTGTGTGTGCGCTGGTCGAATTCACTGATGGATTGCATAAAGCTATCCATCAACACTGCTGATGAAACAATTCCAGTTATAGACTGAGCCAAATCTAATCTTCTTAATGACAAAGAGGAAGCACATAAACACAAATGTGTAAACATACTTATTGCGCAGGTCTCAGTTTATATGAAGCCCAGTGCTCAGCTGGTTCTTACTCAATGATATATTATTATTATGTAAATTTGTGACTCAATGTATTTTTTTCACTCTTAGGCACTTTGATGAGGGGCTGTATCGATGGCTCATCAGGTAAGAGGCACTTCAGCGATGGACTGACTAATTCCAATGTTAATGCATACTTAAAATGAGAAATGTCATCCTAATCAAGTAATGCCTCAAGAATATCTGCCTATCTGCATCCATTTATTTGTCTGTCTTTATCTATGTCTGTCTTATCTAATATTTGGAATACTTTTGTATCGCATCTGTTATCTATTATGCAGTTAAAGAGCTTATTTCCTGTGGGGCATTGAAGCTGTCAGCTGAATAACCTTAAAAAAAACATGCCATTCTCCTGCTGCCTGCCCACATTTTTCATCACAATGGATAAGGATGCTGCATTTGCATGTAGGCTTTCTCATGATTATGAGGTTGCATGTTGTTGGTGAACAGTTCCTCTATTGTGGCGCTGCCCGTGCACCCTGGAGAAATGCCTCCTTGTTTAATATGTGCATTTGTAATTTGCACACTTGTACTTTGGACAACACACATTATTGGTTTGTTCGCTTTTAATGATGCACACTTGGCTGAATGCAGCCTATTGGGAGTTTATGGTTTGCTTGGTGGAGGCAGGTTGCTACATTAAGGCAACGCTACAGTTGCATGGTTGTCAGAAAACACAGTGGAAATGTTCCCCTGTCTTGGTTATTATTTGCTAATTAGGGTTTTATTTTTTTCTCAGTTGTGTGACGGGTACAGTATGACGGTGCATGTGTACATCTACTTTTATGAAAGAATGCATATTAGAGATTTAAAATGGCTCCAATTAATTTGCTAGAGATCCCAGAATTTAAATTGCAAATGCAAGTTTCCATTTTAATTTGTGCCCATTGGAAATTGTTTTCTCCTGCCTAATGGCATCAGTTGCAATTATCCTACCGCAGATGCAAAATGATACCCATGACACAATGCCCCCGACGTTCCTTCTTGCAAAAGTGCTTTTAAAGAGGTTTTAATGCAGTTCTGAAATTCAGTTGAAATTGTCTGAAGAGCGTTAGATGAGTGCGTAGGTGTTAAATGATGTACTCTACATGACTCACTGACATCCCGTCTCCCTGGGCAGCTAAGTGGCTCATTCTTCGCCATTCCATTGCGCTTTTCCTGTCTGTGTGCCACCGTCTCTCAGGTTCTCCATTTCACTCGCATTTAGTTATTGCCCAACAAAAGAGCTCTCACTGGGTTATTGATTGAATTATTGCAGCTACACACGAGCAGAAGCATTTGATCTCACACCTTAGTAAATATTGGTTGCAAATATGTAAGTGGGGGAATAGGTTGGGTATGGTGCAAGGTTAGAAATTAACTTCGGTTTTTAGTGGATTTAAAGCAAAACCGATTAAGTAAGCTGCATGCCTACACAACAACAATATATACTACACTCTTTAATTCCTAATGACAGTCGATAAAACCTGTGAGCATGTTGTAGTCTGCACCACCTGCTTGGATTAATCAGGTGTTACATAACACATTGATTAATCAGAGATTAATGTACAGCATGATATTATCATATTTTGAAAAACATCTGTTTAGAATCCATCTACATCCAAATGAATGTATTAGATGGATAGATACTCTGCATGTTTAGGTATTCAGTTTCCTCTGGCTCTGACAATCTGGTACCTTTCCATCTGTTTTCGCACCTACTTTCATCCTCAATATGGCCGAGCTGGCCACTCTATTTCAGGCTTAGAAAATGCTGGCTCATCTTTCAGGAACATTGATTAGCCACAGGGTGGCTGAGATAATGAGTTCCCAGCTCAGCAACACTGCACACAATGATTTGTTTGTTAAGTGTGTTGGAGTGATATAGCATGTTCAGACTCTTGTCAGTACCTCTGGGACAGACAAGGTTCTCGCAGTATCTGAGGCAATTTTTCTTCACAACATGCTCTGCATTTGATAACGACTGGACGCTATTCACATCGAGTGTGTTATCACATGAGGTGCTATTTTTATACCACATGGAACGTAATCTAATCTAAACCACAAAAATGAACTGCAGGAGCTGTGCTATAGCTTTACTGTTTGATGAATTACCTCATGAGAATTGTCGCTCTTTTATTTAACTGTGTATCCTCACAGTTTATTAACTGATATACTTAAGTCAGAACCAGGAGCAAAAGTGCGCTAAAGTGTTGAATAATACAGAATTTGTACGTTTGACAGTGGGTTAAATGTGTGTGAATCATAAAAAAACACTTAAAAACATTAACCCTCCTCCAGAGTTGTTAATAGGTTGATTGATATTCTCTGGTTTGCCTCTATTTTTGCAACTAGACGTCAAAGCCATGTTTAAAAGTAAAATCAGCATGACCACGCAGTTTTTTCTGGTTCTGATTAATCCAAAATGCATTGTGGTGCCATTTTTACACTTGCAATGTTTTGCAGTGGTTAGTCTTTACACAGGTTAGAATCCCCTTTTTTATTCATTCTGTTGACACTGGATTGCTGTTATTTTTATGACATGTACTCGTGTTTCAGATACATCTATGTTCCACTGGGAGGTTCACGCCATGGTCCTCTTTGCAAAATGTTTTCCACTGGTGTTGCGTTCGGATTCGTCTGCCTCTGGCACGGTGGACATGACTTCTTACAGTACTGGGCCCTGATGAATTGGGCTGGAGTTCTGGTGGAAAATTCTCTGAAGTCTCTCTTTGCCTCGACCTTTATTCACTCCGTAGTTGTAAGTTTGAAATCCATTGACGGTGCTAAAACATTAGGAGGTTTAAATTACCTACTAAGTCTTTCATTTAAGATGTGTGGATGTAATAAAAATCTCTCCTGCAGTCAGAAATAAAGAGGTCATATTATGTTATTTAGTGAGAGATGATGCCTAGAGAGGGTACACTAATTACAGACTGGAGACAAACTGGCTGGATCTTGTCACATCTAATGGGGAAGTACACTTAACCTCAAATATTCATGTTAGTAAAAGCCTGCTCCCAATTGCTTCTTTGGCCATAGCCTTGGGAGATGGTTCATGTTCTCAATATAGTGCTCATATCTGATGGCACACCGTGAAATCCACCTAGTTTATGGTCACACAGTTCATTTGTGCCAGGTGCCTCTCTGTTCCTTCTGCCATGTACAATAGAAATGTCTTGTGGTTCGCCTCTTAGTATTTATTTTTCTGATTTCCCAGGAGCAGAATTTCTCTGCGGCGATGAAAAGGCGATGCATCGCCCTTGTCTTTGCCTTCTCCACTGCTATGCTCATCCTTTCTAATCTGGTGTTCCTTGGGGGAATACATGTTGGCAGAATCTTCTGGAAGCGTGTCTTCATTCACGGTAAATTGCTTTCCACAACATTCACTCAGTGGGAATTGCGTGTGGCTTTATTTTGCAGGATTGTTTCAGCTGGCATTTGTACATTCTCCTGTGTGAATTATCAGCCATGTGCTCCTTTTAATTTGACAGCTGAGTTGCATTGTAGGTCATCACATGTTTGCCCTCAGCGGTGAAAGCAGCTAAATATTGTTTTTCCTAAAGCAACAGAGCGAAGCCAGCCAGTATGTACTAGAAAATAAAATCGGAAATAAAATATAAGAAATCATTAAAAATTTTGCTTCTCTGTAGGTTTGTGTATTTAACAGTTTTTCTAATTTAATTAATCTGCACAGGCGAATAAAGAGACATCTGCTTATGTGGTTGTGCCAGGACCTATTTTTCTCCCAGTGTCTCTTTTTTTGGCTCATTGGATACCTAAAGAAAGATGGCAGCGCCTCTTGAAGCCTGTCTAGTTACGATAAGCAGTCTGAGCTGCACTCGCTGCTGGGCTGGGAGCACAGTCGGTACAAAAAAGCCCATCAGTGGAATGTCACATCATCAGAATCATCAGAATCAGAATACTTTATTGATCCCTGGGGGAAATTATTTATCAATATTGTATATTAACCAAAACTTTAATGTGGAATTTTAATTGAGTTGAATATGAGTTTACTCATTTATATCGCTAAAATGTGGCAAACATAGAGGCTGATTAAAAGTCCAAAATGTAAATTTTTATTCAAAGCCGGCAGAGGTCAAAGACAGTAAAGCAAGCAGCCCTGCAAAGGATCCAGAAGAAGAGCAGGCAAACACTAAATCCAATTGTCAGTCACAAAGGAGACAAACACAAAAAGATAAGAAGGAATAAGACAATCTGGCAGAGATCTGTGGAAACTGACAAGTGTATCTATATAAAAACTGTTGGGTGAGTCGCTGATTTAACACGGGAGAGAAACGGGGAACAGGTGTGGAAGATGACACAAGAAAAACTAATAAGGCAGTGGCAAATAGAAATAAAATTACCGCAGGAAGTAAAACAGACAAGAAGCAGTGATTACAAAATAAAACAAGCAATAGCTTGAACCAAAACATGACATTTATCCACTTATGAGCAGCAGTGGAAGCTGTACTACAACAACAACAACATTTCTACCCTGTAAAGTTTGTACAAGTGTTGGATGTTAGGAAACAGCTGCTTAATTGCTTCATTATCTCTTTTTCTTTCTTTCCAGCTCTTTCTTTGACTCTACTAACTCCTGAGGGAAATAAGTGAATCTTTAGCTGCTAAATGCATTTACCAGCGAGTCCCAGACTGTGCCAGTGTGCTTATGTTTGGTGCTGAAACTATGGTTTACACTGTGCTCATGAGAGCTGAAAACAGTTGCCTGCTGTTTAAAATAGGATTTTAAAAGGAACTTGAAGAGATGAAAGTTGTTACTAAGCTGATCTATGTAGTGCCAGGGACGTTTTTAAAAAAAAAAATGACAGATTGTTGTTTTCATTCATTTAAAAAATACATATATATTGATGTGAAGATCACTAGTATTGATGTGAGTGGTTTACTGTTAGATTTAAAGGTTGTGTAATATCACCCACGAATGCCATGGCAAGAGGTAAACTCAGGTAACAGATAAAGGGCAAAAGACCGTCTTTCTATTTCATGCTGATTTTAGTTCATGTTGTGCAGTGAGTGTAAATCCACAAACTGAAGCACTTCTTTATTACTTTTCTTTATTACTATTTATTATTTTAGCATTTCTGTTTATACCACAGTCTGTGGGATCTTAAAGTCAAACCTAAGCAGTCTGACAGGGTATTTTCCAGTCACCACTTAAGCTTCAATGTTACAGTAAAATTTTGTTGGAGGCAGCAAATGGTGCATAACTTTACACCTCCTCTAGCACTCCTGACCTCCTTCGTGCTCACAAGACTGTAGTCTCGGTGTAAATAAGTTAAGAGGAACCTAAAAATAAGTGCATGGTGTTTGAAAATACCATTTCAGTTGTGAATTATTCAGAGCAAGAGCTGCGCAATAGCTGAGAATCTCAGTTTGCTTTTATGGGGATTTATTAAGATCATTGAAATGCTAAAAAAAAAAAAAGAGACTGGAAAATTAGAAATACATGATTTAACAAATCACTTAATAAGCTCGGTTCTTTCACTGATTACATGTGTTTTTGCACTTTAAATTGAGATATAATGGTTCCAGCAGAAACGCCTGAGGCAGTTACTTGTGTCTGCGTGTGTCCTCACAGGAAACTGCAGAGAGGGAGCTGTGGTTTCATTAACATGAGTGTCTGGGATTGTGAGTGGTGCAGGCAGTAGTGTAATTGCTCCCTGACCTTTCTGGCAAAATGTACAACAAACAATTTTCTGAACACACTGTGTGTCTTAAGTTGTTTGTGTTAACAGTGTCCCCTTGAGTCTTGCACCTGAAAGCCCCCATGTACTCTAAAGTTACAACTAAGAGACAGACCAAGTTTTAATTCAAGAGCACACAAACACAGCAAAAAGTACCACTGCACTGTTATGTGTGGGGGTTTTTTTTTGTTTGTTTATTGCATGCACAAATGTGCTGATGACATCTTCACTGTTACCCAAGGAGTACTTTTTGTGTTTCATTTTTAACTGCAAAGATTCCTTAAAGCTCAATTTAAGGCACATGAAGTCCTAAAAATGGCAATATTTCCCCTTAGAACATTTACCTAACATTGGTAGAATTGCTATATATTTACTTTAGGCAACAAACGTGTGTTGTTCCCAATTTTAGCACATTCTTTTTTTGTCTAAATAATAATGGTACTTTCTGGGAAGAAACACAAGTCCCTTCTGGGGTTGCGTCAGGAGGGACATCCAACATAAAAATCCTGCCAAAGCAAACATGCGGCGCTACCCACTGTGGTCGGCTTAGCAGATGACTCCCCGCATTTCATTTTACCATAGACTTTTACACCAGCTGTCCTTCTTATTTCAACCCTTCCAAGGATTTATATCTCCTCCAAAGCTTGAAGCAGAAATCTTTTGTGTGTTAGGCCAGGTTGTTAACCACTACACTGTTAAGCCATAGTATTAGTGTTTCAGAAGCTAGTTTTTTAGTGTGCAAGCATGCTAACATTCAGTAAGTAGCACTAAACACATCTTGTGTATAAAATATAGGTGGAACCCTTATCTGATTTGACTTTCTTTTCTTTGTTTATTTTAAAGCAGTCATCACTGTGATTGGGATAAGACTATCCGGTTGCTAAGTCTGACGTCACTAGCCGTGTCTGGACCTAAACTCCGCTGCAGGTCCATATATCAAATGATCACTATGGCATTATTGAGAGTTGGAAAAACTGTCTAAAGTCTTTCATCTTCAATAAAATGATCAGCGTTCTGCTCTACCAGGTGTAACAATTGAGTTTAACATCCAGGCATCCATGAAAACGGAATTTATGACATTTAACGGAGTTAGAAGTTAGCAGGAAGTTAGCTCGCTAGCTTCTATCTAAATACAATATAGCATGTTCTGACTACGGGGTTTTGGAAACAAATTAAAACGTACAGCTCTGTTATCACTTCCAACATAAATGAAGACAGAAAACTAAACAGCAGTGACGTTTGTAGGGTTACTGAAGTTTGGCTATCTGGTATATAATGATGTGCTACGTGACCGCTAGCGACACAGCTATGTTAGCATAATATAAACAAGCTAACTTTTTTTCCACTCGATAGAAGTTAACGTGAGTGTTCTCGGTGGTCAGGAACAAATGTAATCGCATGGCAGGATGCTGTAAAAGGACCAAACTTCAGCCAGGAGAACAACTGAGATAATCCATCCACATACACTCAACAAAAATATAAACGCAACACCTTTGTTACTGCTCCCATTCCCCATGGGATGGACGTAGAGACCTAAAATTCATTCCAGATACACAATATAACCATCCCTCCCAAACAGTGGTCACAAATCAGTCCAAATGTGTGGTAGTGGGCACATCTGCTATATTGAGATAATCCATCCCACCTCACAGGTGTGCCACATCAGGATGCTGATCTGACATCATGAGTAGTGCACAGGTGTACCTCAGACTGCCCACAACAAAAGGCCACCCTGGAATGTGCAGTTTTGTCTCACAGCAAAATGCCACAGATGCCACAAGCAATGAGGGAGCGTGCAATTGGCATGCTGACAGCAGGAATGTCAACCAGATCTGTCGCCCGTGCATTGAATGTTCATTTCTCAACCATAAGCCGTCTCCACAGGCGTTTCAGAGAATATGGCAGCACATCCAACCGGCCTCACAACCGCAGACCTCGTGTAACCACACCAGCCCAGGACCTCCACATCCAGCAGGTTCACCTCCAAGATCGTCTGAGACCAGCCACCCAGACAGCTGCTGGAACAATTGGTTTGCACAACCAAACAATTTCTGCACAAACTGTCAGAAACCGTCTCAGGGACGCTCAACTGCATGCCCGTCGTCCTCATCGGGGTCTTGACCTGACTCCAGCTCGTCGCCGTAACAGACTTGTGTGGGCAAATGCTCACATTCGATGGCGTCTGGCACGTTGGAGAGGTGTGCGCTTCACGGATGAATCATGGTTCACATTGTTCAGGGCAGATGGCAGCTGAGAATGTCCCAGTTCTTGCATGGCCAGCATACTCACCGGACATGTCACCTATTGAGCATGTTCGGGATGTGCTTGACCGGCGTATACGACAGCGTGTACCAGTTCCCACGAATATCCAACAACCTCGCACAGCCATTGAAGTGGAGTGGACCAACATTCCACAGGCCACAATTGACAATCTGATAGACTCCATGCGACGATGTGTTGCACTGCATGAGGCAAATGGTGGTCACACCAGATACTGACCGGTTCTGGGTCCCCAGACCCCCAATAGCGCAAAAAACTGCACATTCCAGGGTGGCCTTTTGTTGTGGGCAGTCTGAGGTACACCTGTGCACTACTCATGATGTCAGATCAGCATCCTGATGTGGCACACCTGTGAGGTGGGATGGATTATCTCAATATAGCAGATGTGCCCACTACCACACATTTGGACTGATTTGTGACCACTGTTTGGGAGGGATGGTTATATTGTGTATCTGGAATGAATTTTAGGTCTCTACGTCCATCCCATGGGGAATGGGAGCAGTAACAAAGGTGTTGCGTTTATATTTTTGTTGAGTGTATGAGGTTAGTCATTCATATACTGCTGCATGGGATGGGTTGTAGTTACATCCTAAGGTTTTAAAAACTGAGCTTAAATAAATGATTAGCGGTAATAAAAGCCGAGGGAGGTCCACAGTGATCACTGACTGTTTTAGGAGCTTTTTGAGATTAATAGAAGAAAATACAAAACATTAAACATGTTAACAACACAAAAGCCATATTAAACAGACTACTTTAGGCCCGGAAGTAGGATTCGTCACGTCATCACTTAACAACCGGATAGAGTTGCTAAGCTAGCAATGGCTAGTTAGCTTTGTTAGCTGGGTGAATCCATAATCCACTGATAGGAAATGGGACAGAGTCCATAGAAAAATGACTGAGTGACTGTCAGTGGTAGGAAAACAATCACATTTTCCTCTACTTCTCCCTTTCTAGTGATATTATATAAACAAAGAGGTGAAAAAAAGAGATAACCTACAATTTTTAAGTTTCTTCTTTTATCTGAAAAGTTGTTCTGGTCATCAGTTGGTTTTATTTTGTTTTTAGATTTTAGTTGCCTGCAAAAAACATTGCGAATAATCAAGAAGAAACGAAAGCACCGAATACATTTTTAAAAAATACAATCAGTTCCAACATATTTCTGAAGTTATATTTGGCTAGTAGTGTTTCTTTCAACTTTGCCTTTCTACTATGTTAGTTGTTGGCCACATTAAAGATTGGATAACTGGCTGGAGAACATATTCACACTGAGGGTGTTAATGAAATGCAGATACCTGCAAAGGCAAAACACTGGGGTGTCTTGGCTCATAATGTACATGTAGGCTAGAGGGCTTTAAATAATGAATAAACAGGTGAGAAAGGCTTCATATAATGATAGCTTATGTGAAAATGGTTATACCCAATGTGATTAATAATTAGTTCATATTTACTAAAACATCAAGGCTTTTCTTAAAGATGGTTGCAATCAGACAGAAACGCACTATGCATACTACACAACACAAAACTTATCCTCCGTGCGCCATTAAAATATTTTGCATCATAATAAAGCTTTTCTGGCCTCAGCTCATGTAACCTTTTTTTTTACGCAGACAGAAAACTGACAGTACAGCTGTGCATAAAGCAGCCAGTGTGTGCGTGAATTAGATTTTGGCATGAATAGAAAAGAATAGACCATTGAAAAGCATTGTGGGTGCAGGTGCAGGTTACTGAGATAATCTGGAGGCAGGCCAGTTGGGGAGGAGGTGCAGACAGCTGTCCTTACCTGCCTGCACGACCCTCGGAGAAACAGCTAAATATAGAAAAAGGAGGGAAAAACGTAACATGATGCAGTATGGCACAGGGAAATGAGCAAACCTACTCACTTAGCATATACTTTTAAGCTGCGTTTAAGCTTCATTCATAATTAAATAACTGACAACAACACATAGACTGCATTATCCAGATAGTTTGTAAATCGAAAAACATGCAAATATATTTGCTTTCTTTTTGTTTCAGGCTGGTCTACCATGGCCCCACCAATGCTAGCTTTCCTCTACTGCTATGCTCAGATTGGACTTGAGTGGACTCCTCACCCACCGTGAGTCACCTTGACTTAAGAGCAGTGACTGAGAATCCCTGCTACTGGACAGATACAACAACCTGCTGACTCCACTGCCTTGCTCTCACCAGCCAGAGTCTCACTGTGGTGGACCTGGCTCATAGCCACACAACCTGTCCAAACCTGGCTGAAGTACAGCTGAGCAGCCACTTTCCAAAACCCGCAAGTCTGCACAAAATTTGTCTGTAAGCTGATACTTACAGAGAAAGTTTTCTGAACTTTGGGTGAAATGTAAGTGCACCCAAACTGTAATAAAATTGCTGAAATTTAGGGCAGTCTGTAATAGCAGCTCTGAGGCAGTAAGCTAGATGAAATCACTGCTATTCTAAGAAACTGTAAAAGAAAATGTGGACTCTGAATCTCTCTCTTGGTTATATGACTTTGACAAGGTATTGCTTGGAGTTGCAGGAAGCTGAAGAAAGTACCGTCTTCCTGTAGCTCTCCACAAAAAACAATCAGATGTAGACGGTTGACAAAAAAAGCATATCCAACTGCAGCCTTTGATTGAAAACACTAATCCTGTTGATTATCAGTTTATTACATCTGGGATGTAATAAATGACAAGCTGTTTTTGGCTTATTTGTTGTTACACACTAAATCACCTTTCATTTCCAAAATGTCAACATAACAACTAAATTTAGACAAAAGTAAAATCTCATTTTGTTGCAAAACTCATCTGCCATCTGTCCAAATCTGTCAAGTACTTGGTCATCAAGGACTGTCAGAATGTGCCTGCTCAGTCAAAGCAATGTGATTAACACTGAGGGTTATGAAACAGCAGAGGAGTCCAATCCATTTGTGCTTTACTGTAAAGCTTTTGTTTCAAGGGGTTTTGCAAGTCATAGGCTGATTACACATGTGAGAGTGACACTGCTGAATAATGTGCATTAGAGCTGATAGATGTTGTTGTTGTTTTTGTTGTTGTTGTTTGTGTGTGTGTGTGTGTGTGTGTGTGTGTGTGTGGGTGGGGTGGGTGGTGTGTGTGTGGTGTGGGGGGGGGGGGGGGGGGGGTATTTAAGGCACTTTCGAATTGTATGTTCAAAGTTACACTGCCAGATTAAATGTCAATGTATATTACTCAATATTCACTCCATTTACTTCAAAACCAGGTATTATACTGTGCATATTAAGAATAAATATAATATAGCCTTATATACACTCCGTGTTAATCAGTGTTGTTCGACATTTCTAAGGGTCGTAATGCAAATATCTAATTAGCTAATCACATGGCAGGAACTCATTGCATTTTAGCATGTAGACATGGTGGGAAAAAAGGTGATTTAAGCGACTTTGGACATAGCATGGTTGTTGATGCCAGACAGGCTCATCAGGGTATTTCAGAAACTGTTGATCTACTGGGATTTTCCCAAAAAAAAACTGTCTCTAAGGTTTACAGTGAGTGGTCCAAAAAAGAGAAATTACCCAGTGAGCAGCAGTTCACTGGGAGAAATGCCTCATTGATCCCAGAAGTCAAAGGAAATAGCTAACTACTTTGAATTGATGGAAAGGCAACAGTAACTCAAATAACTAAGTCACGCAGAAGAGCATCTCTGAGTGCACACCACGTCAGCGCAGATGGGTTACAGCAGTGGAATACCACACCAGGTGCAGCTCCTATCGGCTAAAAATGGAAACTGAGGCATCACAATTCACACAGGTCAATAGGAGGTTAGAACAATCTTGCTTGCTCTGGTGAGTCTTGATTTCTGCTGTCACATTTGTATGGTTAAGTCAAAATTTGAAATAAATGACATGAAAGCATGAATCCATCCTGCACTTATTAGCAGTTCAGGCCAGTGGTGGTGGTGTAATGGTTTTGAAAAGCATAATTTGGCCCCTTAATGCACCCTGTCATAAAGGTTAGATTATCTCAAACTGGTTTCTCCAACCTGGCAATAGGTTCAATGTACTCAAATGGCCTCCAGAGTCACCAGATCTCAATCCAATAGAGCGCCTTTGGGATGTGGTGGAATGGGAGAGTCACAACATGGATGCGAAGATGACAAATCTTCAACTTCTCTCTTCAACAATCTCTGATGACTGTTTCCAGCACCTCGTTTTATTAAGGCAGTTCTGAAAAAGGCAAAAGGGAGTCCGATGAGGAACTAGCAAGGTGTAACTAATGACGCTGATGGTGAATTTTTACTCCTGCACAATTGCCCCATTTTTTTAAAAGCAAGTGAAGAAATGACACAGAGGATGAGAGGGATCTCTGAAACCTCTTCAGTAATAACGATAGGGAAATCATTTTCAGGCACAGAGAGTCACTGAGGCATTGCTCCAAACATATGTCTTTTTGACATGTGTTTGATGGCTAATATCTATTAAGTTTTTTCATTATATGGAGGGAGATTGTGAATTTAACTGACATCATAATGAGTGGTGGAAAAAAATGTAATGACTTAGTATTTCATTAGAGAAGCTGACACTTTTTGAATACTGTGTTGTAGCCAGATATTTTTTGGGTGCCAGCACCTACTACTTCTGCCTCAGCTTCTATTTTAATCCATTAAAAATGTCAGCTCTTCTGAGAGCTTTTTGCCAGTATATTACAGGCTTTAAATTTTCATATTCTAGACAGAGGAACTCTTTAAGCCTTCCATAAATCATCATGCAAAAATGATTTTAAAACAGCTTTATTCTAAGGTTGATGACTATAATGAATGCAAAATGTGGTGTGTAAAGCTAGTTGCCAAAAGAAAGAAACATCTGAACGTGCCAAAACATAAAACAATTTATCTTCTTAATGTTTTTCTGAGTCACCCACTGTGTCCCGTTGGCCTAGTTATTTACTAATATTTTTTAAAATACATTATTAAATGTTCTTGTAACAGCAGATTAGTGTTTACTACATATTTTAGGACAGTGATTGAGTACATCGATTACAATCAGTCCACCACTGTGGCTCTTTGGTGAAATTTTGAAAAAGGTTTTGACAAAAGTGATAGTATATGACTATCAGTGTAATAATTGGCGAGATCAGCTCTACTGAAACTGTTTGTTACCTTTGTTTCCAGACTGATCCTTAAAGAGAGGTTGAAAATTTTTTGTCGCATGGCAAACCAAACTGTGGAGAGTTGAATGTGAAAATTCATGAAAACTAATCAAATAACCATAAGACATTCAACAGAAATTGAGATTAATTTACCTCATTATTCAGCCACGTTGGTAGAAGAGAAAGAAATCTTCACATTAATCGGTTATGAAAGCCTGAACATGTAATTTATTAAGAGTAAATTTTACATTTTAAAGTTTGACCAGTGAGCCACAGCACAGTTTTTTGGCAACCAAGGCTACCAACTCCAAGGGATTTGCATCTGCTCTTTACATTTCAGGGTTTGTCAACATTTTTTAAACTTTATGTTTAAGTACTTAAGTAATCTGTGCTTTTCATGCAATGTGCAAAACAGTCTGGGCTTCTTGCTATTCACAGTGCACAATAATGAAAGTAAACAGCTTCGGGGTACGGATTCAAGAAGATTAGGTTAGGAATTAATGAATTTTTAGTCAGATGTGTCATAACTGAAAGCTATTACCTTGCCTCAGGGTCCTGAGTTTCGCATGATCATGCCACAGCAACTGACTGTCCCCAAAGTTTAAATTGCTTAACCTGCACTGGTCTGCAATTTGGTGTTTAAACACTTGTATGACACAAGCTTGTTTGCCCTTAAGTAACAGAAGTACATTGTAATCTGGACTCTGCTGTTCTGATAAGGCTCAGGTTTTCCATTAGTTGATGTCTTTCATTGGATAATCACATCTGTGCACTAAGGAGGATCAGTGGGGCAGTGAAGAATCCTCTTAAATTAGCACAAAAGTGTGAGGCTTATCTGACATAAAAGATCAGCAGCAGAATACACCTGCTGAGTTACACCTTCTTAGAGACGCGTCCTAATCGTTAACAGAGGAGCCATAACGCAACAACACGAAAGACACCCGTGAACCATTGCCTGAAGAGATCTGACAGCGTGCAGCATGTATAAAATATTTATTATGAATAGCACAGTATGTCACAGTTCATAACACGAGTTTCCATTGTGCTTAAAATACATTTCTCATCACATGACGTGAACATAGAGCATGTGCATAATACATAAACCATACATAAAATTCAAATTCTGCTCTTTCTTAAGAATCCAAACGTTGCAGTACAACTTGTGCATATCTCTCTATATATCTATTTCTATATCTCTGTGTAGATTTGCTAACTAGGCAGCTTTCCATAGCTGACCACAAAAATAGATCAGTGTAAATCTTCTCGAAGGAGCAACAGTAATTTGGGTATTTAATGCTGCTTGGAAAAGGAGAATGGGCAATATCATGAAGGCACAGTGTTGCATCTTCTCAGTACAATCAAAGGTAACGACTTTAATATGTAAATGTTGATGTTATGAAACCGTGGTCTGTACTTGTAACTTAATGTTTCTATATTTGCGTTGTTTTTGGATCAGTTTTTTGTTTTACAAATGTTAAAGCAAAGAACTACATATTGCTTTCAAGCATTTTAGATGCATCCCTTTTAGGATTGTATATTATGGCCTTGCCACAGCTAAGTGAGAGTACCCTGCACGGGCCATATCTTTGTTACTGACTCATGAATCAGATTCATTTTTTACTATTTTCATTTTGAAAACAATCAGACTTGGTTTTATGCCTTAATGCAACAAATTAAAATAATATAACAGTAAATTTACAATATGAATAAAACCGATCACAATGATGAATAAGGTACATACCAAATGATAGTCATAGGTTGTGTCATTCATAATAAAAGTTTAAATATATGAATATTACCAGCTCTGTCATTGATAAAGTGAAACAACAATTTATGTGCTTCAGTGAAAATATTATATCTTAAAGGACCAGTTACACTCCATTTCCACTTCACATTGTTATTCTTGGACTCCACTAAATAGATTTGTATATTCGCAGTTCAAAATAAACGTTAAAAACTTATCTAGCCTTGTGCAGCCCTCAGTCATCCACTGTCTGAATCAAGTTGTTTAAGGCTGATATTGATTGGTGATTGTTGCCTCTCACAGATTTTAACAGGTGGGAGGAGCTTCTGTTAGATGACCATATTAGGAATATCTGTTTTCTCTGAACAACCAGTGTTAAAAAAAACAAAACAAAAACAAGAAAACTCTTAAACCCTGAGCATTTGGTTAAAAGAATTAGTCCAATGTACTAACCTTACTTTTTTTAATCTTTCACCATATTTAATGAAAGCCTCTAAAACTGTAACAAGAAAAA